ATCCCAATAAATAAATAAATACCACATCTAAAATTTTATAATTCTTTAATATCATTAAATATCTAGTCAGTTTTCAAACTTCCAGTTAATTTTTTAAAATTAAATTTACAATTAATTTTACAAGTAATTTTTTAACTTTACAATTAATTTTACAATTAATTTTTTACAATTTATCAATTTGTTTATGCTTTTACAATTAATTTTTTTTTAATTAAAGAGCCATAGCTTGTATTATGTTTACATACTGCAAGTATTTTTTTACATGTTTCGCCACCCTATTTTTGGTTTGTTTTGTTTTCCTGGCATTTTTCTGCTGAATAAGCCAGGTTGGTTGTGCTGCAGTTTTCCTGTCTGGAGTGTGCTTGTTGCCCCTTCCACAGTGTTGTTTAATTTGTTCCTCAATATGTTCTGTTTACAGAAAACTCGTAGTTAGTATCCAGAAGCTTATTCAGATTTATGCGTGTTTGTTGTTACCCCCCCATATATAATTTATTAGAAACACCAACATAACCATATTGCCATGAATATATTCTGACTGAAACTGCTGAACTTTTCTAGAATGTATTCTATAGTCACAGAGTTTCCTCCAGGTAGCTCAGGGATTTAAATAATGCTGGTAGTGAGGTCCTGGTTTCAACTGCCCTGCTCCACACAGGACAGCGAAATCAGTTCCTCCAGCTGCCTCAGTGTTCTCCGCTCTGGATTCTCCCTCCTCCAGCCTAGCAGGAGAGATGAGAGTGGAAACTCACTTCCCTTCAGGAGAGGCCAGGTGTGATTTGTTGATTTGTAGCCAAAGATGGACTTTGGGATCAATGGACCTGGATTTCAATCTCACTTTTCCTCTATCTAAAAAAGAAAAAAGGGGAGGAATAAAAATCATTGAATAGGATTAAAGAAGATTCGATACTGCAACATAAATGTCGATGTGCTCTAACAAGATATTGTTATCCCATTTTTCAAGGTGACACTAGTAATTATTGGCACAATGATCTAGTATATTGTCTAAATCAGAGACCACAAACTGAGTGCCTGTGGACCCCTCCCTCTCGCTTTCTCTCCAAACATGTCCCCAAGACATATTTGTTTGGTATGTGTTATTTTGGCCCTCAAAATGTTGTTTAAAAAAAGCTGAGTGAATGAGTGGGAAGGGAAGGAAAGGGATGGGGGAAAGGATTGAAATTGATTTGGATATGTTAAATACACGTACTAACTTCCCAAAATAAATTTCATCATCATGTAATATTAACACGTACTAATAAAATTTGTTTAACTTTATAAAATAAAAAAGAATCACTAACATTAAATAAAATTGGTTGATTTTATAGGTGATTATTAAATTTCCTGCTCCTCTTAAAAATCAAATTTGGCAATACTGGACCCAAATTCCTGAACATCTTTAATCAGGAGGTGAGCATTGTCCACTCCATTTAGAAGTAGTTGGGAATGTCCAGTTCTCCAGGGCCCACACTCCTCTCACTTCTCTTATCCCAGCCCAATTCATTCCTTCAATGGATGTATGAGCTTGTGACCCTTGACTACAGCAGCAATGTGTTAGTACTAATAATGGGTCAACTGTTGCATATGACATCTTACCCCCACTAGGTTCAAAGTTTTCCTGTAATAATATCAATCTCATCCAAACCTCAGACATACCAATACATTTTTTTAAGAAAAGACTTAAGTCACAGTTATCAAACTGAGAACTTTGCATCACCTTAGATATGCCCCAGGTATGTGTCCTCCCATTGAAAATCATTTGTTAAGAGTGTCATGGGAGAGAAAGAATTTATCTTAACATAAAATAGAGCAATCTCCTTGGGTGATTTCCAGAAGTGAAGATTAATGTGTTATCAAGGCTTTTATAAGATCCTGAAAGCCCCTTGACACATTATGACTTTTGTCTTAGACAAGAGACCTGCAGCAATCACATTTCCACATCACTGTACACACAGTGCTTTAACAACGTGACTGACATTGTCCTATGATACAAACAAGGGACCAAGAAGAAATGCTGACTGAAATTGGTAAGATGTGTTCTCCATCTCCCAGAACCATACAGAAATTTCACCGCCTTCCTATATATTTTGAGAAATTTGTGCAGCTCCATGTCTCTACATTAAATAAGAGCTTACCAAGCAATGAGATGGGTTTCAGAAAGAGTTAGTGGAGTTCTTACTGCACTAACTACTGGCCTCTGCCAGTACCTTTCATCTTCAAAGAACCCACAGGTAATAATCAACCCGGGCACTCGTTCCCTAAAATTAGGCACCTGCAAAGTTGCTAGGACTCAGCACTAGCAGACAGTGAAAGAGGCAGACAAGAGAGGGCTGACCTGGAAAGAGTAAAGAAGTGAGAGAGCATCTATATAGTTTGCTCCTTGCACTGAGTTTGTTTGCTTGAATGATCTCACCCAGCTCTAGAGATTTGGTTTGCCAAAGGTGCAAAGACAAAATTCAATGGTGATAGGATAATCTATTCAACACACAGTGCTGGGACAATTGCACGTCCATATGCAAAAGAAATGGACCTCACCTTTTATGTAAAAATTAACTCAAAGCTGAACATACAGCTAATCATAAAATGTAAAACTGTAGAACTTCTAGGAAAAAAAACCTTAGAAGAAAATCTGTGTGACTTAGAATGTGGTGATAAGTTTTTAGATACAACAACAAAAGTCTGGTTCCTGAAAAAAAAAAAATCAGTAAATGAATTTTGCGAAAATTTAAAACTTTTCCTGAGATTGATACTCTTAAGAGAAGGACAAAAAGTTAAAAATTTGGGGGAAATATTTGTAAGTCACATATCTGGTAAGGATTTATATCCAGAACATATAAAGAACACTTAACAGTATAAAACTAACCAAGTTTTAAAATGTGAACCGACACTTCAGCAAGGAAGATATATGGATGGCATATAAACATATGAAAAGATGTTCAATAGCTTTTGTCATTAGGGAAATGAAAATTAAAATAACTGTTAGATACACACTTAATACAATGGTTAAAATTCAAAGAAACTGACAATACCAAATGCTAGCCAGGATGCAGAGTAGTAGGAATGCTCATTTAGTGCTGCTGGGAATGTAAAACAGTACAGCTGCTTTGAAAGATAACTTGGCAGTTGGTTATAAAGTTAAACATAAATTAACCATACAATGCAGCAAATCTACTCTAGGTATTTACTCAGGTGAGTTGAAAACTTATATCTACACAAGACTCTGTTGGTTATAGCATATTTATTGATAACTGCCCAAACCTGGGAACAACCATCATGTGCTTCAACAGGTGAATAGAAAAACAAAATATGACATATTTGTAAAATAAGGATACTTCTCATTTTTAAAAATGCTATGGAGTCACACAACATACATGAGTCTTAGGTGCCATTTTCTTAAATGAAAGAAACTAGATTCAAAAGGCTATATATTGTGGGATTCTATTCATATGACATTCTGGAAAAGGTAACACTAAGTTTGGAAGCAAGTTTAGCAGTTTCCAGTTCTAAAGGAAGAGGGAGAGATTTATTAGGGGACACAGACATAATTTGAGCAACAAAACATTCCATTTTGGACCTCCCCCCAGCAATGAATAATAGTATTAACCACAGTGTAAAATAGGGGTCAGGGACACAGCTCAGTGGTAGAGTGCTTGCCCAGCATGCATGAAACTCTAGGTTCAATCCCCAGCACCGCCAAACACAAACAAAATCAAAGCAAAACAAAAACAAAACCCAAAGTATAAAAGAAATGTACAGGAGCCCCATACTGACAAAAATTGTTTAAGAAAGAAGTAAATGGAAGAAAAGGGGCAAAACTCCTTACAGAATTCCCAACTGTGCAAATAATCCCGTCTCGGGAAGTGGAGGTTAATTCCCCAACACACATACCTCCCACTTCTTGAGGATGGCTAGACATAGTGACATGCTCCCACAGGGAAATGGAGAACTAGTGAATTTATTACTAAGACAGACAGCACCTTAAATGAGTGATAGAGGTTACATCACTCTGTACTGTATTACACCAGTAATGATACAGGAAAAATGTGACTCCTGACCTGCTAGATGTCAGATGTCCTGAGTTTATGTCGAAGAATGAATTCCAAGGGACAAAGGAGGTTAAAAGTAGGAAAGGTTTAGTGAAAGAAAGCTCCTGAGAGACAGGAGGGATCCCGAAAAGGTGACCACTGAGGCTCTTTGTCAGGGATAATTTATACAGCAAATCACAATGTGGGTACAATGTGGGCCAAACAACAACCAACCTACAGGATTACAAGTATAGCCACTTAGCCACTATTGATTCAATAGGGAAACAAGTCACATAGCAAGAATGTATGGAAAGAACGAAGGAATTCTTAGAAAGGGAGGGGAGTACGGGTCCAGGCGTTCTGGTCACCCACCTGTGTGCCTAATGCCTGTCTGGGCTCACTGGTCTTGGTGGTGCCAATTGCAGTCTAGTCTCAAGTTGCTGTTTATCTCCAGGGAGACATGCAGGCCTGGTTATTGCTTTTCCATCCTGAGGTCTGGCTTTCTTCATATTCACCCCTGGACACAGACACAATTCTGATGTCTTTATTTTTTGTGCTGACTTCCTTGAGTGCAGAGTTCCTCTCTGTATATTCATTTCTAACTCACCTAGCTGTCTATAATAATAAGACATATCAGTAGCACACAGTCCTGATATGAATAATGAGAATGGTGCTTTCCCAAACCCATAACCCCAGTTTGATCATGCAAAAAATAGTAGACACACCCTAACAGAAACAGACTCTTTGAAACTGCCAAGCTCCTAAAAAATAAGAGACTGAGACACCATCACAAACCAGAGAAAACAAAGGAGACATAATAAATAACTATGATGTAGGATCCTGAACGAAATCCCAGTACAGATAAAAATTAGTGGAAATACTTGAGAAATTTAGATTTTAGTTAATGATGTGCAAATGTTGGTTTCCTGGTTTTGACAAATGTACCATGGTTGATCTAAGACATTAACAAAAGAGGTAACAGAGTGAAGAGTGTATGGGAGCTCTTTGTACTACCCGCAGATTTTCTGCAAATATAAAATTGATCTAAGTAGTTTATTTAAAAGTAAATAAATAAAAAAGAAACGCTTGACAATAATAGTAATGAGAACATCAGAGAAACACAAGAACAATTTGGACCTTGTGGCCATTTGGGTTCTGAAAGGATCCCCTCCCCACTCAAGAGTCTCCTTGATTACCTGGTTACCATTGGAAACAGCGCAGGTTTATTAAGCATCGCTCTAGTGTGGGACTCTCCGAACTTTGCGTGCACCAGAATCACCTGGAAATAAATAATGACTACTGGGTCTTGGGCTCACTGAAATTAGCACTTGGGTTTGTGTATTTTTATGAAGTTCCCTGATGTTCCCCATTGGCATCCAAATTAGAGAACCACTGCTCTGGTACTTTCTAGTAACATAACTACTTCATTGTTCTTCATTCACTCATTCAAAACCATTTATTGAGCAACTGTTCTATTTCACCCTTTGTCAGTGCTAAGTAGCAGACAGAGAGGCAAAGACCATCCCTTGTGGAGCACATGTTTTAATATACAAATAAATGCACAGTGATGAGTCTTTCCTTTCTAAGTCTTTAAAGAGAAAATATGATTGGCCTAGTTATCACTACCTTCTGTTTTAGGGGGCAGAACTTTTCCCAAAAGCTATCGCATGGAGGTACTATTCAGTGTAAGTGTTGGTTACCTGGAGGTCATGGGTTCCTCAACTCCAGATGGCAGTGAACAGTGAGGTCCTGTGGAACATGATAGGACCTCTCAGCAAAATGAACTAGGTTAGGAAGGGGCCATGACATGTGAGGCTCCCTTGTCTGACCCATCCAGTGGGGTTGCCATCCCAAAACAGCAGGAGCCAAGCTTTCCTAGGCTAGTCTGGAAGCAAAAAATAAGGCTGAACTAGTCAATACGATAAAAATGATGCTTCCATCACAAACTAATTATTTATTAGAACTCAGAAATAATGAAACCCAGAAGAAGCATACAAACTCTTGTTCCAGAAAAATAAATTGCTTCTGCTTTTTTTTCAGCCTGTAGATATTTGCTTTCGCTGGACTTTGCTTTTCTGCTGCCTGTGATGTTTCAAATTGCCAACTTGCCTGCAGCAGATTCCTACTCCAGTGGAGACTGACTTGGACAATAATCTCCCATGAGTTCCCTTCCATCATGTTGCGTTCATTTTTATTAACTTTGGCAATATCCTTTAGATTTTATTTTGCCCTCTGTTTGAGTACACTCTTTTTAAATAAAGAAGAAAGACAAGAGGCACCAGGAACCGGAGCAGTGGTTATTACATTTTTTTCATTCCCAAATCATGTGAACTTTGTACTTCACCCTTTACCAACTGCTACTTAAAAAAACTGTAAGGCATCAATAGTAGCCACAGGGGTAACTTATTAACTGCGTCTGAAAAATGAAAAGCTTTAAAGCTGTTCATTACATATATTCATTTCAAATAGACAAATATCACCACTGCACTGTGTTCCCAGCCTAAAACTGGGGATCTAAAGATGAAAAGAAGCAACTCTTCCCTGAATGAATGGACTATCAATGGTGGAAGACAGACCAGTGATGATGAGGAAGAGGATACTCATGATGATGTTACCAAAAATGAGGGAACTAGCTGTTCTAGGAGCTCAGAGTGAGAAGAGGGTCATTTTGAGCTTAGGGACAGATAAGTGATGTTTAAGATGGACTTATGGAATAGTTAGGGTTTTTCTAAGTAGAAAATGTTGGAAATGTCATTCTAGACTGTTATGGCTTGTGTTTAGATGTCCTCCCAAAGCCTAATGAGGTAATAGGTGGGGCTTTTTGAGAGGTGGCTGAATCTAGTGTGTGATGCTGGAATTGATTCATATTGCAATGCTAGGATCAAGAGCACTAGGATTAAGGGTGTGAGTGCTACCCACCCTAAGTAGCCTGGATAAGATAAAAGGGGCAGAAAGATGTTATTAAGGTCCCTTGTTGCTTTGCTACCTTCTGCCCACCATGAACTATTTCTCCTCTGTGATGCTTGTCTGCCATACCACTCTGCCTTGGAGCCAGCTGACTACAGACTGAAACCTCTACAAACTGTGAGCTAAATAAACCTTTCCCCCTTTAACTTTGGGTGTTGGGTATTTTGTCTCAGCAACAAGAAAAGTAACTAACACAAAGACATGGTGATTAGTATGGATAAAGCTAAGAGGGTAAGAAAGTAAATGGCCTGTAGAGAGAAGAGCAAGTAGTCCCTCGTGTGCTGGAACACACAGTCTAGCCTTAAGGAAGGGCTACACTTGCTCCATGACCCATCAATGGCCAAGTCCCCTGGGTTCTGCAAGCCATGGCTAGTATCAGATGTCTGGTTAAAAAAAAATGCTCCAAAAATTTTGATCACTGAACATAGCAATAGTTTGTGAAACTCTCAAGAAGAGGTTTTTGAGAGCCAGGGATGTAGCTCAGTGGTGCTGCCACCTGCCTTGCAAGCTCAAGGTCCTGAATTCAATCCCTGGTACAAAAAAAAAAGGAGAAGGAGGGCCGGGGATTTAGCTCAGTGTTTCCGGTGCCTGCCTCTCAAGCGCAAGGTCCCAAGTTCGATCCCCGGTACCAAAAAAAAAAGGAGAAGGAGAAGAAGAAGAGGTTTATCAATTGCCAAATAGAACAAGAACATTATCTTCAAATCTAGTTCTTACATTCATTCCCTTGCATTAAATTCATTGACGTGTTGGCTTAGCCACCCAGCACTCTGATAAATGTTAGGAACATGAAGCCAGGTCCACTGTAGTTCCTGCCTTCCAGGAGCCTAATAACTGCAGACTTCATTATTTATTTATATATTTCTTAGGCCTTGTGAAAACCTGATACTGGTTTATTAGCAGGACAGAGTGAAATGATTTTTTATTTTTAGGTTTTAAATAATCTTTTGTTATTAGAAAAGAGCAGTCCATGATCATTATAGAATATTGAACCAGCCAAAACCAAGTTAAACATCTCTGGAACACTCACTTGGTTCATATGCTCCCACACCTTTATATGTACGCATGTACTAATATGTATTTTGTGGTGAGCATGCATCCACCTATAATTCCAGCTATTCAGAAGTCAGAAGCAAGAGGATCACAAGTTCAAAGCCAGCCTGGGCAACTAGTAAGACCCTGAATCAAAGTAAAAAATACAAAAGGCTGAGAATGTAGCTTGGTGGTATGTGCACACAGCTCTGAGTTCAATCCCCAGTACAGCTCCCATATATACATATTTTTAGTACTGGTTATTGAACTCAGGACCTTGCATTTCTGAGGCAGGCAGCAGCACCACTGAGCTAAATCCCCAGCTCCAAAAAATATATATTTTAAGAAAATGCTTTTATATGTCTATGGACTCACCCTGTCTTTTGACTAGATTTTTTTTCAGTAATTTTCATGGTAAGAGATGCTTCTCTTCTCATACTTAGTACTTACTCAAATTTCTCCACCTGAGCCAATCATGTCCTTTATAAGCTGGGCACAGTGACATAGCTTGTAGTACCACATATTCTGGAGGCCGGGGTCAGACGATCTCTGGAGCCTAGGGAAACCAGCCTAGACAACATAGCCAGATCTTGTGGCCAACAAAGCAAAAATGTCCTGTACAACTAATCAGCTACACTCTCCAAATTAGAACTGTGTTTGTCAGCTTTTCATTGCTGGGACAAAGTACTCAAGATAATCAATTTAAAAGCAGAGAGATTTATTTTGGCTCATGATTTCTGAAGTTTCCGTACATAGTCATTGGCTCTGTTGCTTTTGGGCCTATGATGAGATATAATATCATGGTAAGTAGCACCGAAGCTGCACACCTTACGGAGGTTAAGAAGCAAAGAAGCACCAGGGTCCCAATATTCAGCTCGGGAGCACACACCCAATGACCTAATGTCCTTCCAGTAGGCCCCACCTTCTAAAGGTTCCACTGTCTCCCAATAGCCCACAGGCTGTTGACCAAGACTTTGGCATACAAGACTTTGGATATATTTAAGATCCAAACCATAACAAGCCTCTAACTCAAGACCTTATGCCCTCAGTTTCTCTTTGAATCCAGCCTTGTCTCTTTCGTATGATTGACTTGATGAAGAGAACTGGCCACCTGTCCTGAAGAAGAGCCTACTTCCTGTATTTACCAGTTCCTTAGGATGCCCTTTTCTTGATCCTCTGTCCTCTGTATTTCCTGAAAACTGGAAGTTCTAACTAAAGATGCGAGAGAAGTGAGTTAAACCCTTGGGGTTAGAATACTTTCTGGGCGATAACATGACATTCATACTGCAAAACAAAACAGACAACTTCTGGTTGAGTCACCATTAGTGATGGTCAAATGACCACTGGACAACGACAATAACTGACAGCCTTAGAGGGAGCAATGGAAGGACAGAAGGAGCAATGGAGTAGAATTAAGAGTGGAAAGGAGATGGGATGGGGTCTTGAGCAGCCCTGAGTTGGGGTTCACCAAGGAAATCAAATCGTGCTTCCCACTCTGGCGTATCTCTGATTGTGACCAACTGCTCTTCTGATGTTCTCACAATCAGAGAGAAGAGGGAAAAGGAAAACAAAAATGAAATACCTTTGGTGGGTGTTCCAGGACCCCGTAACTCTTTGGGACAGCCGTTTTACAAAGCAAACTTTCCCTTTATAAAACTGAGCTCACCAACATGGTATACAGCCCACAGAGAGAGAGCCACTAGTATTACCCTCAGGCGTACAACCTGGGAAAAGACCTATAAACCTAGGCAATTAGGAGCTTGATGGGTTCTGTATTCGCTTTCTTTTCAGCGACAGCCTTTGCACTGCCTTTGGCCACCAGGGGGCACTACAATCAAACAACCATTTTTTTTTCGCGAGTGAGAACGCGCCTAGATAAATCTTGACCAAGCCAGCGTCCCGTAGCAAGGTGTTCAGGCTGAGGAACAGTATTTCCGCTTTCTCGCGAGCACACCTAGGCTCCGCCCCGCCTTCCAAATCCGCCCCGCTTGCGCTGCCGCCTGTCCCGGTGGCTCGCAGCAGGTGGCGCTGTCTGAGGCGACTCTGTGTCCCCGCTGCCGCGGAGACGATCTCCCGGCGGGCTGTGCGGCCCGGCTCTAGGGCGGCAGCGAGTGCCACGTCCCAAGTGCCGAGCTCAGGAGCGGAGCGGGCGGTGCGCGTGGGGCGGAGAGCAGCGCGAACCCGGCTCGGCCTCACCGATCGCCCGCCGCCATGGGCTCTTCGCAGAGCGTCGAGATCCCAGGCGGAGGCACGGAAGGCTACCATGTCCTGCGGGTAAGGGCTCCGACGGCGGCCCGGGAGCGGCGGACTGGAGGCGGAGCCCGGCCGCGGGGAGGCGGAGGCCCCGACGGCCCCCCTCCTGCTGGGGCAGCCAGGCCGGATCCCACGGAGGAGCGGCTGGCTCGGGCGCTGCCTTGACCAAGACTGACCTGGGAAGCTGCCCTCTCCCGCGCCTCCGGAGCGCCCTGGGCCGGGGTCCGAAGCTTTGCGAGGACGGGCCAGGGCCGGGGCTGGGAAGGGGCAGCCTTGGCTCCTCTTCCTCCGCACGGCCTTCTCTGTCTCTCTAATCCTTAGCTTCCAAAGTTGGGAAGGGTTTGGGGACAGCGTCTCCAAAAGGGCTGATGAAAGTGGCATTTAAGGTTTCCCAGAAACAGCGTCCTGAACCCTGCAGTTGAGATGGGGGATGCGACGGTAGGTGTCTCTTCGCCTCGGCACTGTCCGGAAAGGACAGTAGGAGGTGGCAAACGAAATGGCCTCGAAGTAGGTTTGACGGACTGAAATTTACGTGACTTTGACAGGTCTTTTTTTCCCCTGTGTCACTCCAGACCCTTCCAACCCTCCCCTTCAGCGTTTCCTGGAGGGGGAGCTTTGGGTCTCTTCTAAGACGCCTTAGGGCACAATGATTAAGGTTTAGATCCACAGAGGTAATGGGGAGGAATGTTTCTGAAGTAAACTGGACAAATAAAGGAAAGCAGCGTCAGACATCTGAGTGCAAAGAAATATCTACCTATGAAGGGCTTGGATTGCACAAAGCATGCGATGCATTTTTCGTGGAACCAGGAACCGGGAGGCATCGATGGTTGTGTGCAGTGACACCTGTGTGAGTAATAGCAGGACGAAGTGTACAGAGTGGCCCCAGTCTGCAGCGCCATTTAGGGACGTAATAGAGTGTCACCAGATATTGGCTCCTCACAGGCAACGGCATCTTCACTCAGTGCACTTCCTGGTGCTACCTTTATATTCTGCCCCAGGTCCCCTGTTTTTCTAAATTACCAGATATCTAAATGATAGCAGTGATATATCACCTTTCTTATCCGAATTATTGCGTGCAGTTGCTTCTCCATTTCACGAAAAATCCCTCTGGAAACTGCACTCTTGCTTGCAGTGGATGATTTTTTTTTCCAGGAAAAAAACAGCCATAAATAAACCATATTACTTTCCTATTCCCTTCAGCTGACCAAACACAGGGAAAATTGAAGAACTGGCACATCTTCGAGACGAAGTGAAAATTAGTGGCATTGCTTTTTCTCTAGTATCTGGTCTGATTTTGCGTTTTCTATTCTGGGATATGTTATCTAATGACTAGCTAATTCTCACAGTGGCTGATTGTGGCTGTGAATCCTTGGGGGATTTGTGGTATTTTTATAATATGTACACTTAGGGATGCTAAGTAAAACACATTAGTGTTAATGACTGGGGGGAAAAAATCAGCGTTTGAAAGAGCCCTATGTATCAAAAGGAACTCCACCAGTTCAGTGACTTCTGTAAATGGCATTCTGATGCAAAACAACTCCTCGAAGTGTATCTTCTTTGTATAGATGCACTTCAGTAAATTCTTGTTCATACATTTTCAGTAGTGCAGAAGTGTTATTAAGCCATGAATCTGAGTTTTAGAAACACTAGGGACAGCCTTAGTTACCAGTCTGCATCTGGAGCATAAATGTTGCAAAAGGTGAAATAATTCTTTTTTTTTTTTTCTTTTCGTTACCGGGGATCAAACTCGGGTCCTTGTGCTTTCGCAGCAGGCGGCAAAACCACTGAGCTAAATCCTGGGCCCAAGGTGAAATAATTCTTATTATTTAGAGTTGTGTGCAAGGGAACTTTAAAGTAGTAACAACCACCTAGTTTGAGAGAAGTTTCTTGAGTTTCTAACCCTCTCTGCCCTTAATTCTGTAATTGATTTCCTTCTCTTTGTTTTCAGAGAGGAAAGTACTATGTTATATCAACATAAAAATGTCTTCCTTTCATTTGTTATTCCCCAGATTTTCAGTAGTACATTCCACCTGCTGTATTATTGCATTTGTAAACCAAAGTAAATATGCCAGGAAAATCTTGGGATAAAATCTTCATATTCAATGTATTCTATATTGATTTAATTAGAAGTTAGTTTTCTTTGGTAATCAAAACCCCCTGGCCATTTCCTTGTAGTAAAAACTTGCAAATGCATTTTGAAATACCAGTTAATGGCATCCATATCCACTGCTGTTTCATTGTTATTTCATGAGGTTTTTTTCCATTATTTTTCAATACCCACTATTAGGTTGTGCTCTAAAAATCTTCATTGGACAACCCTGAAATAGAGGCAGAAATTACTTCTAGCAGTATACCTGCCTTTTTATGTGTTATGTATCAATGCATATTTCCATGTGGCTATGATCATATTGTATACCCAGTTTCTTATTCCCATATCCGAGGTAATTAACTACTGTTGAAAGTTTCCTGTGTGGCCTTTTAAGTGTGTTTTATGCATATAACAGCATTTTTTCCCCCGCATTCTTTTTGTAACTGTTGGAAGCCTGTGATACTACTGTTACACACCTCAGTCTTCTCATTTGGTAACCTAATGGCAGTCTTTCCAGAGCAGCAGTTAAGAGATCAGCCTCGAGCTTTCAGTTAGCTCTGTAGTGGTCTGTTGTTCCATAGTTTGGTTAAGCAGCACCTCCTGGTATTGGTCACTTAGTTTTCTAGTCTTTATAAATATAAATATAAATATAAATATAAATATAAAAATAAATATGTCTACAACCAGAAATCCTATTTTTTGTTTTCACTTAAAATATACGTTTCTTCAAATTATTGAATTTTAATTTTTTATTTTCATAAATGTTGATCTTCATTTTAGTAAATTGCTACTTTGTTTTTTGATTCATTGGAAACATTTGGTTGGGTAAATTCCAAAAGTATAAGAATCCAAATTACCTGTAATTCCACTACCTAGAGGTAGTACTGTTGAAGTATTTGCTTAGTCTTTTCTTTATCTTGTGCCTAACATTGCACCTTAGCCATGCTTCACAAAGATTTTGAATGAAACAACCTATTTAGCTGCAGTATGATTAAAAGTTATGTTACCATTGAACTTAAATATCCAACAGCTTTATTTATTATTAAATAAATCAGAGCCTAACCACTGATTAGAATGCTATGCATTCGGTGGAAATTGTGCTTCAAATTCTGTGTATATGTACATTTGAGTCCCCAGGGAAATAAAACTGAAAGGTAATAAACTAGGATATAAAAGAGATTATTATTGGTGGATGATGATGTTTTTGTGCTCCTTTTTAACTTTAATATAGTCTCTAGGATTTCTTTAATGATCATGAAATACTTGAATAGTCACAAAAAGTGTAGTTGTAAATGTTATTTTTAAAAAATGGATTTCTACTGGAAGATTTTAAAGATTATTTTGAAGCCTTTTAAAGATAATAGCCGAGTATAGTGGCTCATGCCTGTAATCCCAGCACTTGGGAGGCTGAAACAGGAGGATCACTGTGAGGTCGAGGCCGGCCTGGACTGCATAGGGAGACCCTGTCTCAGGTAAAAAAAAAAAGTCATATTTCAGCTTCCTTTATACATTGGGTCAGATTCCATGTTCATCATAACTACCACTTTTCTTTAGGTACTGTAATTCTAATACAAGGCAGGAAAAGTGTTAGTCAGGGCTTCTCAGTTTTGTCAGAAGTTATTATGTGCTACTTCCTATGGTTGAGTATGTAGAGTACAAAATTCTTGCTTAGACTTGTCAATTATCAAATGAGCCCAACACAGCCATTTCCCCAACGTGCCCCCCTCCATCCTGTGCTGGGATCAAACCCAGGGCTTCACACATGCTAGGCAAGTGCTGTGCCACTGAGCTATATCCTCAGCCCAAGGCCACTTTCAAAATTACAAGTGTCCTCATGAATGTCCACTATAGGATCTGTTTCTACAATAAAATAGTTAAATTCTATTCTATACTTTAACAGTCTTTGAGATGAAAGGGCATTCTGGAGCCATCATTCACACCAGTGTGCAGACATGGGACCTGTCATATTCACTCTTAGAATTTCTTCCAGGAGAGATTGAAGGGGATGGATATTTTGAGGAAGGGTCATTGGGATGCAGTGAATCTCCAGTGTAATAACAAGCCTTTAGCCCCTAAGCCACTCCCTGCAGCACTTAGAGAACTGGGCAGCATTCAAAAAAATAAGTGGCTACAAGTGGAATTAGTTCTATAGAAAATAGAACATCCTTAAACCATATCTAGTGTCAGATGGAACTGCTCCTTTTTAAACGGTGCCTTACTAATTTTTATGAAATCCTACTGCAGTGGGATTTCAATTTAATAGTTATTTCAAAAAATTAATTCCTAATAATTGGTAGTCATTTTTTCTTTATTCTAATATGCTTTTAAAATTTTTTTTAAGCTCATGTCCCTTTTGGAAAAATGTAAAAATCTCACTATAACTCCCTTCCTTTTCACCTACTATGAAAGCAGTATGTAAAAGGCAAACAGCTGGGTTATTTATGTTCTCCAAACATAAGAAGTTGTAATCAGAAAAGCTTTATAAACAAACGTGACCTCAAGATTCTGCCCTGACCCCCCAAATTAATCCTTCAATAAAAGGCCAAGAAGGTGTTTGACTCATAAACATTCACCAGAATTACTTTCAAATGTAGAAACCAGAATTTTTAAGTTTATTAAAGCCATGAAATACAATAAATGTCAACCTTAGGGTACTTTTAGGGATCATAAGCATCATTGAACATAAATTTTCCTCTGTATTGATAGGGTCTGAATAAATGGAGTGTCACGTTGCCTATATACACTTTCATTTTATGTGATGGGATGCATCATAATGCCTGGGCTATCATCCTCAGGATCCTCATTTGGGGAGATCCTATTAGTGGTTAATTATGGGTTTGGGGGTTTTTTGTTTTTTGTTTTTTAATACTGGGAACCCAACTCAGGACCTTGCACTTGTGAGGCAGATGCGGCGCCACTGAGCTAAATCCCTGGCCCTAATGATTTTAGTGAGTAGCAGAGTACACGGTACAGGTTCTCCAGCCTTCTGGGCCAGATACTAACAGGGATTTTAAGTAATTTAAAATTTTCCTCTGAAATTTTTGTAAGAATTGAGCTTACAGTAACCACTAACATCAAGAAATTTATTTGATTGCCTTTAATATTGTCCTGAAATAATTATTATTGTAATTGATTTACTAATAAAAATTATTAGCAGTCTAACCTGGAAAATATTTGTGAAGATTTGGTTTTGCTTCAGAATTTTCACTGTAAATGCCTGAGGAGGAATTATTAGCAAGTAAAATGACTTGTTTTCTAAGAGGCAAACTCAGAATCAAAGTGCAATAGTTAATCTGAGAGATTGCACACTTCCCCCTTGGCATTGCAGGTAAATTTACTGCAGCCTGAAAAGAGGGATGTTGGACTTTTGTTCTCTCACTTCCTCTGCTGCCTCCCCCACACTTTTTCAGTACCAATCAGAGATCATTCAAGCAAATTTTTAGAAATAAGGAATCGTGTCATCCTGTGCACATAAATACATCGAAAGATTATTACAATAGACCACCAGAGACCACACTTGGGAACTGGATTCTAATGCATGCTCCATCCTTTCTTTGTGTTTCTTTGGGCAACCCTTGGAACTTACCTGAACCTCAGTCTTTTTATCTGAAAGCTGGGAATAATAGTGCTTCTTCCATCTTTTTCCACTGAAAATCACATTTTCTGAAAATGTTTTGGAAATGACTGTTGTTAAATCTCTTCATTGGTGATTGTGTTGATTAAATGAGATATTCCATGCATAACAGCATAGAATCTGGAATATGTTAAATACTCCATACATGTTAGTTGATGCTATTATTACTAGCATTTGCATTATTATATCACTCATTGAGAACCATTATTGCAATGGTGGTTCTACTTAAAATATACTAGTTATGCTGGACACAGCGGTGAATGCCTATAATCCCAGCTACTCAAGAGGCTGAGGAAGGAGGATTGCAAGTTTGAGGCCAGGCCAGACAACTTAGAGAGACCTTGTCTCAAAAAAAACCACAAAAAACAAAAGGCTGGGCATATAGCTTAATGGTAGAGCACCCCTGGGTTCAATTCCCAGTACCATAAAAATAAACACACAATACAGAACACTCATGGTTTTTCTGTTCAATCAGAAGCTACTTTTTGTCCATGTACGTAACCCTTTCCTGTGTTGCTATTTAAAACATAAGTTTTGAGTCAAATATGACTCATTATAGTCAATTTAGCAAGTACTTTTAAGGATCTTTACTTTTAAGGAAATTGTCTGCTTTTTAAAACTTAGGTGCATGCCAGTATTCTCACTGCCTTGCCCTGGTGTTACTACACTGATTCATTAAAATGACCAAAAGACTGTAATTAAAATGATCTTGCTGTCTCTGATTTTCTTCATTGTAGAATTGAAGACTTATTTCATGATGAGTCGATCTTATAGACCATCTAATCACCTCCTCACTTTACAGCTAAAAAGGAGCACAGAGAGATTAATCTGATTTGCCAAGATCACACAGCAAGTTTTCTTTTCCTAAGAAATTTGAAGTGTGTAAGATGAGCCAACGGACTGAGAGTTTTTAACTTCTTTCGGAACAGACTTCCATTTCTTTCAACATTGTTTTCCTAATATTCATATCTTTTCCAGGAAGCTGTTATTATGTAATGATGGATTTTTACTTCTTTTGATTGCCATTAGATTTATTTTCCTTTGAGACAGGGTCTCCCTATGCTGGAACTCGTGGGCTCAAGTGATGGTCCCTTCTCAGCCTCCTGAGTAGCTGGGACTACAGGTGTGTGCCACTGCAATTTAAAATTTTCTTTCAGATTGCTTGATATGTTACAAATTACATCATAGGACCAGTGTCAGAAGAACATGCCCTTTGAGTTATTATAGAAGAATATCTGGGGAGAATATTTTAGCAGGTGGGGCTTGAACTCTTCTATTACAAAATTATTTACTACACATTTGTGTCTAGATCCAGTAGGGAATCTTGCCCATTTGCAGTCGTAGCTCGCCTTAAATGTCTTTTATTTTTATTATATCACATATGCCAATCTTTTGGCATCATTTTGATCACCTATGTAAACACGCATAACAGGAGGGTTAATACATTTAGTTGAAGTGATTCATTTAGGTGTTACTTGGATTGAATTTATTTTCTAGTCTTATTTAGTATTTCTGCTGTTTTTAAAGACAGTGCAAAAGTGAGCACGTTAACATTAAATTGAAAGCTAGAGGAGATGATGGTATAAACAGTCATTCAAAGGGATTTATCTACATTTTATGAGAGGTATATGGTATAATGATAAAAAGGCAACAATTACTGTTAGCTTCTTCCAGTGTTCAGAAAGTAACCTTATGGTTTCCTGTCATTACTTTAGCAGATCGTGTACCTCAGCTGGAAGTACATAAGTAAATAAGAGAATGCCTAACCCCTGCTCCACCCAATTATCTTTTTCTACTTTGTGGACCCTACTTCTGATCTAAGAATTAGAAGAAAGAAAAGGGTTGATACAAAGTGACCTAAACATAGTAGAATAGTACTGTTTGAACTCTTAATCATGAAAAAGAGATGGGTAATTACTAGAAAGCAACCAGTGAAGAACACTGAAATCTATAGGGAAGAAATTTGGTTTCAGACTAACCCTGGTAAAAACTTAAATGATCCAGGATCAAAAGATGAGGAAAGAGTCATACCAGTATTGGGAATTGAACCCAGGGCTTCCACACTGAGGAACATCTCAAACTTTTTTCTTTTTTTTTTGTAAGCCACAGTCTCACTAAGTTTCCCAGGCTAGGCTTAAACTGCTGATTCTCCTGCCTCATCCTCCCAGAGTGCTGAGATTACAGACATGTACCACCACACCTAGTTAAACTTAATTGCTTTTATTACCTAGAACTTGATTGAACAAAAAGTTTTATGATACCTTGGGCAGTTTTTCAAATTTAATATTTTTATAGCACAAAGTAAAAAACTATATTTTCTCTTCCAACCAGTACCACGTCATTAAAAATATCCTTATGTCATAGATTTTTGATATTTTGTCTATTCTAATGTCTGTGTTGGTCTTTATCCTAGCATTACCCACTAAATTGATTTCCAGACCTACTAAAACTACCCTCAGTAGTTGAATTGACACCACATTCGAGATTATTCCTGAAGGGTCAGTGATTGAAAAACACAGCCTCTAATCATTGGTGTTCATTTCTTTTTATGCAATAGGCATGCCCCTTTACTGTGCAGTTTTATCATAAGCTTCTCACTTTTGCTTATTGAGAGGTTAAAAATGTCTAGCAGATTTATTGTTTATTATAGCTGTTTTTTTCCCAGAGTGAGTGAAACGTTTATCTCATGCTGTGATTTTTATTTTGGTAAGATAACTTTCAACTATTACAAGTACTAGAAACTGCATTCATAATTTCTTCTACCCTGCTTGTCCATATTTTGATAACATTTTTAAAATAATTTTTAAAAATAAGTATCTTCTAAGTTTAACTTATTTTCAACTGCTTTATTGCGTTACTTAATTCTTTAAACCATGTAGCCTGAGAATAATTAGAAAAAGTACTCTATCAAAATGCTTATTGGAGTTTTCAGGGAGGTTTGGATATAGTCAGTTTTTTCTTTATGACTGAGTGTTTACTCCTTTAAGTATCAAAAATGTTGGGGATGGTGGCGCACACCTGTAATCCCAGCACTTGCAGAATGGGGCAGGAGAATCCCTATAAGTTTGAGGCCAACCTGAGCTACAGAGCAAGACCCTGTCTAAAAAAACCAAAAAACCTATGGTATATGAAAATCCTTTTTTTTTTTTCCCCAGTACCCAAAATTGAACTCAGGACCTTGTGCTTGTGAGGCAGGTGGCAGAACCACCGAGCTAAATCCCCAGCCCGAAAATCCTTTTTTTATTCTTAACAAATGAGAAAACGAAATGTCATTGC